ACTCCCCCCAAATAACAACTACCATACAAAGGGCAAAAGCCTCCAAGTCCCAACCGTCAAAGACCCCCACAAGCGAGCAAACCCGAAAGCTAAGTACAAGACCTATCACCGACCCACGCCTCCCTCACCCCGACTATCAAACCGACCACCAACCCAACTGGAACAGAGTGACCGAAGTCCTTGGTCCCACCAAGCGAGCAGAAGGTAGTTACGGCCCGCGAGCATCACGAAAAATAAAATGAATCAAAAATATCAAATCCAGTCTCAATACGGTCCCGCAAACTCTATATCCTCCTCCACAGTAGAATCCCACCCATTACCCCCATAACCCTCGTCGGCCAAGGCCGCTGGAGAAAACCCCTGCAAAGCTGTGAACATCGCATCCAGTGTAGCCCTGGGGACTTCGCCCCCACTCCTGGCCACGCCCCCTTCCCGAACGCCATTTGCGCCGCCGACCACTAGATAAACCAGCATCCCTACCAGCAACATGCCCAACCCCACCCTGCACTCCCACCTCCTCCACCAGTACCCGCTTCCTAGCCTGCTGCCCCGGCAGCCTCAACCCAAGAAAGTCAAATATGGTAACTCCCACACTTGGAGGTGAGCTCACAGCGCGACCCCCTATAGGTACCGCCGACAGGAACCGAGTCTTGTGCCATCCAACCACGTATGGGTTCTCGCCCTTAAGCCAATGCCCATGGAGAAAGTGCCCAGGAGGGAGGTCCCACCCAAAGCACCAGCCATCAATACTGTAACCACCAAGTCGTCCGATGTAACTGATCCATCAATTACCGACCCATGATCAACGGGAGACAAAGGCAGCTCCAGTCCAGCCGGGGGGGGAAAGAACCAATGAACAAATCCGGAAACACAGGCGCATCATCAGCCACCCATGAAGCCACACTGGTAGGGCTAGCCACCACCCCGGGCTCAGCCACGAATGGCGCAGGCAACTGCATCCCCGAAGGGAAGGACTCTACCATGAGCAACCACACCTCAGCCACCTCCTCATCTTCAGCCACCCCCCCACTGGGAGGCGGTGTCATGTCCCCTGGCCCGCCGAACGGAGGAGAGGACAAACACCTAGCCGCAACCAGGGCTGCATGCTCCCGTTCCGACAAGTAGAGTCCACAAGACAGTACCGAGATGTGGTGACAAAGGTGGGAAACTGCCTTCCGAAAACGAGAAGCCTCATGTACCAATGCCCAGAGGAAAGACAAGGCTGCAGCGACCGTACCCGCCACAAGGGAAGCAGCTCGCTTAGACATTGAAGTGACAGACCGAAGGCAACCAATGACGGAAACGAAGAACCTATAGGCAACTAACGAAAGAACAAAGCCTTTTGAGCTTAATAAATGTAAGCCAAGGTAAAGATTCCTTCCCAAACAAGACCTGAAATTATTGTGAGACAAAGTCAAGAACGACGTGGAGGTTAGGTAGATCCTTAGAACATAAGAAAGCGTGTCCAAAGGAGATTACCAGATTATGTAAAGAACAGAAAATATAAGGGGGCACACCCCCTTATAAAGAAAGAAACCCTTCCTGATCACTAATACAAAGGAAAGTCCTTGGCATTGCCCACAGCCACGATGCTTCTCCCGAGTTCCAACAAGTTCTGTTGTACAGCAACATGTCCCAATCATGATATAAAGAAAACCCTACACATACAACCAAGGAAACCACAGCTAATAAGTGCAACCAAAACCCCATGCATATTCCATCTCGATAGGCGGGTGGACGTGACACTCTACCACTTATCGACATAGACAGTGAACCAGAATAGGAACTTGAAGAAATAATGGACTCTTGGTTATACTACGGTCGCTTGCAATACTAAGCGAAGTGGACAGGATATTCTCCAGAACATGATAACACTTGATACACAGCCAATAACTTCAAGAATGCCCAAGATGCAATCCAATGATTCCATGAACGATATCTAAGCACGCCGTCAACCAAGTGTCAAGGACACGCCACAATCTGAATATTCAGCCCCGCCACTACGTAGAACTAATTCCTACCACTGGGATCAGACTCAGATCAGGTACCAGCAATTGCCATTACCGTCGGTTTTACAGAAGGTTCCGGAATGCAATTTGTTTAAAGATATCATACTAACGAGCCCAGGGTACTGTACCCCAACCCCGATCAAGGAAGAATAGAGCAATGAAGACTGGACCAACCTAGCGGACCTCAATCTGAGGAAGAAAACGACCCCAGAAAGGGAACCCGTGAACCTGTCATGGACAGGTTGCTATGATGACAAGTGCCAAGTGCACAAAATGGAGAAGAGGGCTTGGGATATTGGCCTCGGGAAGTGAACCGATGGTCACCCAAGACATCACCCCTGGGATCACTTGCAAGATCCCCAACCCCAGAGCCAGTGGCTCTGGTACAATACATTCAACTGATTCCAAGAATAGAGTCCAGGAGGAGGGGGGCGAAAAAACAAAAATGGACAAAACCTAGGAAGATGAGGCACATCTCCTGGGAGGAAGAGATGGGAAAGGAGCAACCAGAAACGACGATAATGAAATTGTTGGTGGAGGCGGAGGAGATGAAAAAAGTATTGGAATGGCAAGCGGTAAAAATAGAACGGCTCCAGAGCGAGCTGAGGGAGGAGAGGTGGATAAGAAAGGCACTCCTGAACAACTGGCGGAGAGAAGAGAAGAAGGCAGAAAAAGCCCTGACGAGAGTAAGGAAAGTCAGTGCTTGGTTAAACAAGGAAGCCAAGCGGGGACTCCGGATAGACAGGGCATAGGGATTGGAGGAAAGACTTTTGTAAGCCTGATGGAACTCGGGCTGAGGGAGAGGAGAGCTAATGTCACAAACTGTGACTAAGCAAGGCAGATTTCACATAGCTTGGGATTCCGAGCTATAGGTATGTTAGAATTTCACTTGACGCATACTAGTCTGCCATAGGTTATGTTTACCCATTCGTAACTCACAGTTGTGAGTCACACAATGTTATGATTTTCGTACATGACTCAAATTATAAGTCATGGGTTTCACTCATGTGACGCGAGTTGCGCATCTGACTTGGTTGTTATGTTTTGATTGGTTTTAGGTATGTTGGGCAAGCGACTCATAGGAGTCTGCTGATGGATTTTGCATGACTCATAGTTATGAGTCACAGGGTTCGCGTAATACAAAGTATGAGTCATGCCAGGTGAATAGCTACTATATAAAGAGTCACTAGGACTCTGAGTATTAGCTCTTCACACATTCTTCTTATTTATTTCCTACCTTTAAGTTTTACCAATAAAAACCTACCTTTACACTCTTTAAGATTTATCTTAAGAAACCCAAGAATTGTTTTTTCTCTCAAGAGAGAAAACTGTCTCTCTTCCCACGTCGAATGAATAAGTCCTAAGCTAGGACTTAACAAGAATAGAGCAATAGGCGCGATAAGATAGAAGTCAAAGAACTTGACTATCAATATCGTGTAGGCGTCGGCCTGAGAACTATTACCTCGCCCCAAATTAAGAATTGTTACCTGTCACACCCCCACGCCCAGTAGGGTTCTTAACAAACTTGCATGAATTAATACTCTACACCTTGCAAATATAAAATTCCTGTTTCTTGCTTACAATATTGACAATACTACTATCAATCTAAATAAAACTAACCTGGTAGGAATTAAAAGCTCTAAGGGCAGATAATAAAATATGATTCAATTAAAAAATATATATATAATAAAATAAAAATAATGAGCCTAAAAATAAAACACCACATTTTAAAAATTATACGCAGGCAAAAAGTACACCTCAGGCAAGAAAATGTAACATTGAGCCACAAAATTGATGTTGAGCCACAAAAGTTGTATTGAGCCACAAAAGTGATGTTGAGCTGCAAAGTGATGTTGAGCTGTCAGGCACTCATCAGCCAATTTTCGCGGGTTGCAACGTCCTAGCTGTAACCTTGGCACGAGTACTTCTTAGAAATTCTACTAACCTATTTTCATCGTGCTGTGGCATCTCAAAGAATGCAACCTGATAGTGAGGTGTTGTCATGGCAACTATCTCCACAGTAACCTGATAGTAATAACAACTTATAAGTATAACTCAACTCTACAAGCTCACAGCACCTGCAGTTGGTACTGAGAAGAGATCAAATTATTTCTAAGATATGGCACAGGTAAGTTGACTTTGGCCCTTGAATATGGGAAAAGGATAACTTGATTCCAATGAACTATAAACAATTGAAAAGTAGGGTTTTTGCTCAATTTTGGTGGAAAACAGGCTAAATCACCAAGACTTTTGCTTAGTCACTTTAGCTTACCTCATAGTGTCAGAGTGATTAGGCAGCTGGGCCAAGACTCCCGGTCGGTCAGGCCAGCCTGATTACTAAAGTAGGAAAGGGAGTTATCACCTACCGGTATCATGCCTTGTGGATATCTGGACAGCTCGTTACCTGTCAGTTAGCCAGGCACTTTTTTTTTTGTTCAATCATCTTTTCACAAGTACGAATATCTAAGGGATAGTAGATGTTGAGAAAGCCTTACGTTTCGCTCAGGGTGTGCGCGTGCGTCATAGGAAATGCTTCCTTTAACCTCGTTAAAGCTTTACGGCACATTGTAAGTATGATAGATACCGGTACCGGTAGCATAGTCAGTCTTTGTATCGTGGGAAATGCGAACCGGCCCGAATAGTATCCTAGTGATAACGAGGACATGATCGAATTTTATTGAGCGCGCCAAAGCACCAATACGGGTACAGTACCGGTACGAGACCATCTGAGCTCTCTTTCACTTCTCGGCCAAGTTGGGAGTCGCGAAGCTCATGTTCGCTGATCGAACCCCTTACCCACTGCTTAAGTAATCTCGCCGCCACCACATACATAGACTGGGGAGGGAGTTTAACCTTCCCGGATCAGTCCGCACAAGAATCTCCAGTCTCAGCAGCTCATCAGACAGCCGTCTCTCCCAAAGATTGATTACCATTTTTCTTAACTTTCTCTGTCACCCAACACACGAACGTTGATTCAACTATAATTACGATATGGCGGATGGTTCTCGCATCACAGTTGAGAGCATAGGCGACATCACGCCTGGGACGATTTTTATTGGTTACTCAACGCTTCCATCGTATTCGCAACCAAAGCGCAGGCCATTTCTGGCCCTGTGGAAGGTTGGAGATGGTGTGGTCTCATTGTGAGTATGGTGTCCTCCTTAAAAATTCTGTTGAATACTGGTGCACTCTCTTTTCAGGCCATGGTTCCTGTCTGCAAGCATTGACTAACGCGGACAATCCCGACCGGATAGACCTTTAACTAGTTTACGCACCGTTGACGGCAGCGTACAAGAAGGTGCAGAGAAGTTCGGGCGCAGCATAGCCAGCTATTACCCTATCGCTCCCGCAAGCAATCCGCCCTATCTCCCAATTCCCGCACTAGAGAACTTTGAAGGCTTCATAGATCTCCTAACACCGGTGACCCTCGGGCAATCCTCCCTTGGGAGAAAGTCTAGAGGATCCAGAATCTCCGAAGGGGACTTGCGGTGCGTCATAATGGCGCACGTATCTCTCGTCCAATGCGGGCAAGAGGCAGTCCAGACCGGGAAAGTGGAGCAGGAATCTGAGATGCTATTGATAGATCGCCGGACGCACGACGGTATCCGCCAGATGGCTCTGGACCTGCTCCAGCGCAATAGAGAGGGCCTTCTACAAGCAGGGTTCACTGAGAAAGTTACCCTGAGTATAATTGAGGCGTTTGATAGGCCCCCCGCTGCCAAATTAATATTACCACGCCTGCACTACCCCACTCCCTCACGTTCCACTTTCGTTGATCCCCAACCTCCCTCCCCTCTTCCTCCACAGCGCCTGGAAGTTTATACGCAGCGCGGATACCCTGCGCAACAGAGCCCGGCCCAAAAACAGGAGCGGCAACCACCCCAACAACCCCAACAGCCCCAACGTCTGAGTGGCCAGCATGGGCTAGCAGGATGCAGGCCCAGTACCCCGCCCGGGCACCACAGGAATCCCGATAATGGTGACGATGGTAATGGATCCCCTGGGATCCGCGGCCCCCGGGATTCTAACTTCTACTCCGGGCCAACTGGAAGTGGAAATCAAGGAGTGAAACATAAAAAGGAGTCTCACCAAGGGGAGCACCAATATAAAAAAGATAGCAACAACGAGGAAGACGGAATTGACGAATGGGCCAATGGCGACTGGGCCCGGGTGGAAGAAACCGTACCCGAGGGCGAAAAGAAGGAAAAGCAGCTCGGTGAGGACTCCGACTCCAACTCCTTGTTCTCCCAATGGGGCTTAGACGACAGGAATAAAATTGGGGGCGTAATTCCCGAAAACACCCCAACCCAAACTCCCACCTGTGAATCCACAAACTCACTCATGAAGGACGACCAACACGATGACACCAGCGGAGTGGCACAGGGTAACAAGCAGAAGAATCACCATCTAAGGACACGAGCGATGAGCATGAAAATAGATCCAAACAATCGAGGCCCAATCGGTACCAACACCAGCGCCACTTCCTCCCTGCCTCACTTCCAACCTCGCCGCAATGGACTCAATCACAATTTACGGCTCTTATCCACGCCCTACGAAGAATTACAGCATGCGGAAAGCTTCAACAAGAAGCCCTCTCTGTCCTTGCAGCCGGTGGCAACGGCAGCCAAGGGGCAAATATTGAGGATATCTATCCTTCAGACGCGGACCCTCGCGGTGCCGCAACCATGCTACCAGTCACACACGCTACACAAACCACTGCTCCAGCAGCCCCCACAGAGGAATTCGGAATCGTTGGACCCGAAACTAGCCCCATTCCAGTGGCTGGGCCGACTGAGCCGGAGGGTGCGCGTGGGCAATAGGCTGCGCACTTGAAATCCTCTTCGCGCTCGGCCGCCGGGCAGCAGGGGGGGGGGCAAGCAGGGGGAGGCGGAGGAGGAATACAAGAAGGCATACCAGGAACTAAAAAGAATACTGTACTCTCGAACGTATGCGAATCCTGGTTCCGGCCGTTGGGTGTGTCTCAGGACTTGCTCACGGCCCTCCAGGTGTCCCTTAAGCTCTCTAGTATCGGGGCACTCAACGCATAGGTACGGCTCAATCCGATTCGCCGTTGGCTGGACTCAATGGAGGTCAGGATTTACAAGCGGAGAAGCGGCAGCCGGGGGACTTAACGAGGGGCTGTTGATGAAATATGTTGATGTCGCTCGCGAGATGCCAGTTGCGTGGTGGCAGCAGCAGGGAGATGATGAGTCGTGCGCTTGGGCCGAGATAGCTCTTGGTAGTTCTGCTACTGTTACCGCAGCTGCTGAGAACAGTAATTGATCTTCTCCACTAGCTTTTGCTTAGTTTTTTTTTTTTTTTCCAGTCGTGGTTCAATTAGGCGTTCGCGGGCTGCGAGTCTGGTCAGGCTTGGGCCTGAGCTTTTTCGGGAACCGGCCTGGCAGCACCGTGGGCTGCAGTCCGGCTTCCGGGGCTCATCTGGCCGGGGCCGGCCGGACTGCACGTACATTACAGAATTGGTGATATGTTATGGTATCTCAACAATAATTTCTGATGGGTTCGAATTATATATCATGTTCTAGAGTTGGGGTTTTCATCAACATGATAATATATGATTGTCTCAGTCTATACCGAACAGGTTTTAAACCAGCTAGTCGGTTTTGAAGGACTCCGGGGTGCAAATCTGAGTGTGGAACCAGTGCCTAAATAATTGTGTTCAACTGGATAATTAGGATAATGAGAAAAACAATAATTCCTGTCGCAAAAATGGTTGGCATGAAGGTTTCTGGGAGAATTCGAGGTTGATGCTAAAATAAAATGATCACGGTGAAGTAATAGAAGAAACAACTTTATAATCAAATAACAACTGCTAACATGCAAGCGATTCATCTGCAATACAATCCAGGAATATAGCGAGTGATATTTTAGGTCAGGGTCCGAAAGTGGTGCCTTGGGTGCCTCTTTAGGCTGTGCTGGGATCCATTCTTTGATCCGCACCCCGGCATTACTTTGTGCCGTGCCGGGCACATCGGCACGAAACCAGGGACTTCAAGTGCCAACAAAGCTACAGTAATAGGCGGTGTTGTCTCTATTGTCAAAATATTGGTGGGCCTAAGACTTTTGCTTAATCACTTCACATTTCCGGCCTTTGTCTACGTTGGGCTTCGTCTAGGTTAGGCTACGTCTCCTGCCATCAGCAGGACCCCCTATAAAATCAACAGAACAAGAACAAAAATGCAATAGGCAGGACGCTTTAGTTCAAATCAATCTATGCAATTATTCCCGCCCGCTCCAGTTTCTAAAAACACCTCTAATGTCGGACACCGTCAAAAGAATAGAGAAAACAAAACTCACTCCGGACCCTTCATTGCTTCTTATTGCCCTGTCCACCGGCAGACAGCATCCTTTCCTGAGCCTCAACCGTCAACTCTAGTCTAAGCCGAGTTATAGCGTTTTGTATCGTTGTGACAAGCCTCGCCTCCATTTCATCGTGTCTTTTCGTAAACCCTTTCTCAACGTGACGATCATAGAAAACGAATTTCAATGCAACCTTATCGATCCGTTTATGTTGGAAATCGCGAGGTGCTGCTTGGCATGCTCTCACGATGGTTTGTTCTTTCGGGAGTGCGCTTGCTTTTCGGGTGTGATATGGCTTCGAGCAAACATAGGCGTCCGCCTGCGCAGTTGGCTTTCTCGGGAAAGCACTTCGATCGCAGGAGCGTGCGGGAGTCTTTGGAGACATGCGTCCGCCGGCAGGATGGCGGAGGGAGTCCGAGAGACTAGAAGGAAGGCACAAAGGAAAGAAAGCGGAAGGCCATAAGGAGGCCGCAGGTTCGGTAGCCGATGTTTGTCTTTTCTTTGCTAGTTTTTCTTGTTGCTCAAGTGTGGGAGACGTAGGTGGGGGGTTTGGACTTCGTCGTTTCTGTCGTTGATATATATTCCTGTCTTTACCGCCAGTTAGTTAGAACATTGAGAGAGAGATAGTGTGCGATAGTAGTGAGGTTGGCGAGGTAAAGAAGTTTTCTCTTCCCCCCCTTGTGAGTTGTAGTTAGTTGCTGCGAATATTATGGTATTAAATGTGAGTTGTGCGATCCCTTCACGTGAGTGAGCTTGGCGTTGTTTCGTTTCGCAGCCCGTGACTGGCTTAGTTTTGATTGGCTCGTTGCCTTGTATCCCTGCTCGCTCGCCGTTCGATTTTTTCGCCGCTCGCTCGTTCATTCGTTCGATTTTCGCCATTCGTTTCGCTGCCCATTCCCCGTTCGTTTATTCCCGATATCGTGAAAGTCTCCGCCGATCCGCCGACGAATAGTTTAGCCTCAGGTCATGTAGCAAAATGGTTAAGTTACTGATAGCGTACCCCCATCACAACTACCGGTATTCCTAAAAGCCAGCTCATCCGTGCACGGGTATCTCGGATTGCGTCATTGACTGGTTACAGACTCTTTTCCAAACTCTTGTCCCAACTCTCCTGCAATCTGTTCGCCAACTTATTGAGTCTATCGTCTATTGCGGTATCAAAAGGCTCAAATGACTGGGAGACAGTTAGAACATTACAAACTTGAAGAATCAGTTTTATCATCAAAAACATTACGGTCTCCAACTTTGTAACCCAATTAGCCAAATCTTGCATTTCGGATTCGTTCTCGGATCTGCTCTCGTCGGTTGAGTACTCCTGTCCAGCCACATCGTAAGTACTTTTGTATTACTCGCCAAACACAATTAATTAGCAGACCTAGAAGCGCATAGGTTGAAAGGTACTAGTAGAGTAAACTAGACCGAAAGCGTGTAGCTAAGCAGGCCTCAAACGAAACACAGGAGGTTTATAAGTAAGCAGTAAACAGGCAATCCGATAGACCAAGTCAACATCGAGCGTTCCTTCATAACTTATGGGGTGTAAATTACGGTACTGGTGGGAAAGATGAAAAGCAAACACCCTACCAGTGACAGAACCCCCCTATGCACATCAAATCCAGTCATCCGGCGGTTCTCTATGCTATTCCATTTAAGGAAGGTGCCGGAAATAGGGTTCTGTTACCCTGGGATTGCGAGGAAGATGGACTGGATACCAGTATCACAATACGAGTACCAGTGAAAGTCGGACCCTCCCTACCAAATAACCGTGCCAAGGTTCCCGCCACTTCGAAAGACGCTCCGCTCCCCCGAAGATGACGGCACTCTGAGAGAGTGCCGAACAGTTCAACGGAAGTAAAAGCTCAATGACAGATTTACTACATACAATGAGAACTTGAATGACCCAAAATATATTGCCTAATTTCATCACCCAAAATCCCCCACCTCTTAAGCTTTTTATTCCGATCCTTTACTACTCTCCACATCTGCATGCAAATTGCTTTCCACTCTTTTTTTAACCTTGTTGTCGGCAGCCCACTGTGCAATATCCAGTTTCCACTAAGCTTTCTGAAGCACCTTTTCGGCGCTCTCCTGCTCTTTTTGTAGAACTATTGCTCTTGCCTCATCAGCATAGAGCAGTCCACCCTTTTGAATAGACCTCCGGCTCCAGTTTTGTCTTGCTGCTCAGGAAAGCTCAGCAGCATTTATGTTTTCCAACTTATAAAGCGTGAGTGCTCTGCTTTGAGCCTGAGTAAGGCTACCTTTCAAGTATTTCTGTAGTCTTCGACCGGATGTAGGAGAAATTTGACCAGCTCCAGGAGAGCGAACTGGCAGGCCAATTATAGAATAATTATGAATCAAATAACTAATCATAGTATATAAGAGATATATAAAAATAAAGAACCCATTCCAAACACTAGATAAGAAATCCACAAGTAAAATTCCTAATTGTTATTATGAAATATTAATGAAATACATGTAATATATATCCTAGCTACAGTGGTGTCCATGGTTTGGGGGGTGATGTCAAGTAAGGGAATATACAATATTATCAAGAAATGTATACAGATTATAAAAACCAGAAAATTTCAACTCTTCTGTTCTACTTGGGAGATATATTTGGCAGGGTAGCCTCAGTCCGGCAGTAATACTGCTCAAAGTTTCTGGTGCCTTTGCAGTTTTGCCTCTTTAATTGCTCTCTACCATCGAGCTCCTAAGCACATCTGAAAAAGAATAATAAGTATATCGTACATAGCCAGCAACGCATCTATATCCGAAACGCCTAGGATGAAATTAAAGGAAGATAAAAAAACAACAACATTGGTAGAAACAGAGATAAGCATCAAACTGGAGCTAAGGAGGATGGAGAGGTGGAAGAGGGCTCAACAAGGTGTTGAAAGGAGGGGGTGAAGTTCTGGAGGGAAGACTGAAGGAGAAGGCATGAGATGGTTGCCGCGGTTACGGAATTTACTGCCCAGGCTGTAGTAAATCTACAACCCCGTGCTGCTGATAGAAGGTTGCTATACTCAGCGGTGTGTGGCCAAACACATTCGCTGCGTTGGGGTCAACATCAGCGCGGCTTAGTAGGATCCTTACCACTCCTTCATGGCCATACGCAGAAGCGCGGAAGAGTGGTGTTCGGTCATCGCGATCTGGCGAGTCGGGGTTGATATCGGCGCGGCCTAGTAGCATCATTACGACTCCCTCATGGCCATATTCAGAAGCTTGGAAGAGGGGTGTTTGGCCAAGGAAATCTGCTAAGTTGGGGTTGACATCGGCGTTGCTAAGTAAGGTCCTTACGACTCCTTCATGGCCATTTGCGGAAGCTACACAGAGTGGCGTTTGCCCAAGCCAATCTGCTGGGTTGGTGTTGACATCGGAATGGCCAAGCAGCATCCTTACGACACCTTCACGGCTATTTTCAGAAGCAATGGAGAGTGGCGTATGGCCACGCTGATCCGGTGAGTTGATATCGACATCGGGACAGTTTAGTAGCATTCTTACAACTCCTTCATGGCCAT